AGATGGCGGTGTAACCGCAAGAGTGATATGGGCGGTGTAACCGCGAGAGTGGTATAATGGGCGGTGTTACCGCGAGTGTTAAAGAGATAAGAGAATGAGATGACAGTGTAATCTGCGAGAAACATAAATATACTTATGTTTCAGAACAGGTTTGATTCTAAACTGAATGTTTGGAATAAATATTGTTGTATGAGATTATACACTCACTAGACCTTTTGGTCTAACGCTCAGATGTTGGATTAACCTGTTTTGCAGGACAGCGTGCTCTGAAAGATAAAGGCAAGGGAAAAGTCTAATTATTGATAATAGCTGGTTATGCATATGTATTAAAGATACATTTGGATAGTTCATGTTTTGTAATAATACTATTATGAGTATTATGAGTATGATGATGTGAATTATATGTAATAGGAATGTAAGGGTTGTTACACCTAGGCTTGGTGGTTTGCGAGAAGTGATTCTGACGGAGGCACATAAATCAATATTATCCATCCACACAGGAAGTACTAAGATGTACCATGATTTACGCATAGATTATTGGTGGTCGAGAATGAAAACGGACATCGGGCGTTACGTTGAAAAATGCATCACATGTCTGAAAGTAAAAGYAGAACACCAGAAGCCATATGGGAGTCTTCAACCTCTTGAGGTCCCCGTGTGGAAATGAGAGGAGTTAACTATGGATTTGGTCACCAAACTGCCAAAGACTTCTCGACAGCATGATAGTATATGGGTTATCTTTGATAGGCTGACTAAATCAGCGCTATTCCTTCCTGTCCGGGAATCTTACTCCATGGATCGTTGGGCTCAGTTGTATGTAGACGAAGTTGTTGCTCGACATGGAGTGCCTGTGAAAGTTGTCTCTGATCGTGACTCTCGATTTACTTCTAACTTCTGGACTGGTTTTCAACGTGAGTTGGGTACACGACATGCGTTTAGCACAGCTTATCATCCTCAAACCGATGGTCAATCTGAACGTACCATTCAGACACTCAAGGATATGTTACGAGCATGCGTTCTGGAATTCGGTGGTAACTAGGATGCTCATTTGCCCTTAATCGAGTTCTCTTATAATAACAACTATCATTCGACAATTGGCATGGCTCCTTTCGAGGCTTTGTATGGACGTAAGTGTCGTACGCCTCTTTGTTGGAGGGAAACTGGAGAGAAAGTGTTGACGGGGCCCGAACTTGTGCAAATTACAAGTGATAAGATTCAAGTGATTAGAGAAAGAATGAAAGCGGCCCAGGATCGACAAAAGTCTTATGCGGATCGTCGTAGAAGGCCGATCGAGTTCTCGGTCGGTGATCTAGTAATGCTGAAGGTTTCTCCGTGGCGTGGTGTACTCAGATTTAGAAAGCAAGGTAAACTTAGCCCTCGTTTCATTGGGCCGTTCAAGATATTGAAGTGTGTTGGAAAGTAAGCGTATCGACTTGAGTTGCCAGAAGAACTCACATGTATCCATGATGTTTTTCATGTTGGTTATCTAAGGAAATGTCTCGCTAAACACGAGGAGGTGGTGCCAATAACGGAAGTCAAAGTAGACGAGAAACTTAGATACGTTGAAGAACCCGAAGCTATCTTAAATGAACGAACGGTGAATCTGCGCATCAAGGTTGTGGAACTGGTGTTGGTTAAGAGGAAGAATCACCATGGACCAAATTGGACTTGGGAAAATAAAGAAGAAATGATGGCGAAGTACCCAACCCTGTTCGAACAATGATGATTCCGAGGACGGAATCTTCAAAAGGAGGAGGTATTTGTAACATCCACCCTCCTAAATATGCTTAACTAGTTATTTTTAAGTATGTCTTATATGTTAAAACATGTTTTACATGTTAATTGAAAAAAAAATTGCTAAAATGTTAAGTATACTAGTGATCTATATGTAGAACTCATAGTTGGAATGAGATGTAGAAGGTAAGATTGATGCTAACACCTCACAAATGACATAATTAGATGACGTGAGGGTTCAAAATATGAAGTACTTTGCCTAAATGAAAATTAGGTAGATAATTAAAGTG